CGCCCCACGCTTCAGCCAGGGCTTCGGCCGGTTCCCCCTCGGCAGCCGGGCACCACAACGTTGCCCTCAGCTCTGAGACCCACCCGAGACCTTTACTGGCTTGCAAGCACCAGTTCACCCACGTTGGTCTGATCTGCTCGGTTAGCTTTGCTCGTCGCGTGACGCCAGCCAGGTCTCAGCGGAAGAAGGGGATGCCTCTTGCGCCGTTGCTCATCGCGTAACAGCACCTGCATCCCTCGTGTGTCGGACGCCGCACGGAGCCCCCCCGGGAGCACCCTGGAGGCAAAAGCCGGGGGGAGGACGACACCAGGGAAGCCGAAGGCTGCAACACCCGATGGCGATGCACTGCGAACCCCAAATACCCCAAATCCCACCCGGACCGCCTCGCTCTGCCGTTTCATAGGATAAAATCAGCCGCAGTACAACCCTGGGAGCAGTTTCCCACATCCCGGCTGCGCCACCACCCACCTCCTTTAGGGCCAGGGTTTGGGGGTGGGATGGCAGGGTTGGGTTAACGGTTGGGCTTGGTGACCTTAAAGGGCTTCTCCAACCCAAACCATTCCATGATTCTCTGGTTCTCCCCTCCCGGGGGGACCCCAGCAACCCCACTGCTCTGCCCCTGCACACGCGTGCCCAAAAGGCTCCTCGGGGGACCCCTCGCCGGGCAGCGGCTCCTGGGAGAGCGGGCAGGGGCCTGAGTCAAGGCGCACCCAAATCCCAGCAGGCATCTCCTTCCCCTTTGGACTGCTGAACTGGGACCAGCAAGCCCCAACTGGAGACGGAGCTGTAACCACACTCGTTACGGCTAGGGAGAGACACAAGCAGAGCGAAACCACGAGCTGCCACTCGCGCCGGTGACTCACGTGGCTGCCCGATGGGAGGAACTTTTTGGCCGGGATTTTGTTCTCAGTCACTGCCTGGGGTGGGGACCAGAACACGGGGCAAAAACCGAAAGAGGAAGCAAGGAGAACCACCACCCCTGAACCCGCTAGGCACCATCTCCGCTCCTCGCTGCATCACTTTTCCTCATGTACTCACACAAAGAAACCACAAAACTTGCTAGAAATAGTAAGAGTGAAGGAAAAGGAAAGCCAAAAGCCACGGCTGGGCTGAAGCATCAGTGCCTGGCCCCATGGAAAGCTGCCTCCTCCCAAAATACAGCCCTGCCTCACCCACCACTGGCTGGGGACGCTCGGGTGGCCGAAGGGAGACGGGGCCCGAGGGGCGCGGGCACTCACGGTGCAGGCTGAGGGAGATGTTGATGGAGCGCTCTTCCACGAAGCCCTTCAGGTTGGGGATCTTGGCGCACTTGAGGATGGTCTGGGAGGCGCTGTCGCCCACGTGGACCCAGCAGACCGTGTCTTCAATGTAGTTGAAGTCCATGGCTGTGGTCTGCTTGGCGCTGGTGGGGGTGATGTTGGGCACAGGGGCTCCGCTCAGGTAGGTGGCCAGGATGTTCTGGGAGTTGGCAATGAGCAGCACGGGAGGACGGTCCACGGGCTCTGCCAGGGAAAGGAGGGGAGAAGGGTGGTCACGGCAGAGCGCCCCAAAGCTCGGGGCTGCAACGCCGTACCAGCCCGGCCCTTCTGCTCCAGCGAGGACGAGACCGTGACGTGCGGCACGCGGGAAGGTGGGAGCACAGGGGGTTCCCCAGGGATGAGCACCCCGAAAGCGCAGAACCGGGGGCCGGGGCGCACAGGCGGCAGGAGGCCAGGGTTGGCGGAACTGCCCAGAAGCAGGACGCTCCTCCTGTCAGGGACCTCACCATTTTTGGCTTTGCAAGATCTGTTATCGGGCTGCAGGAGGTATCCTTCCACGCAGCTGCAGGTGTAGGAGCCCTCCGTGTTGGTGCAGGTCTGGCTGCAGGTCCCGTAGATGGTGCATTCGTCGAAGTCTGGGAGAGAAGGCAAAACCCCCAAGGTTTAGGCTAGCGAGCAGCGCTCCGTAGCTGCCTGAAGGGGAGGGAGGGCTCCCCCTTTCCCCCAAAGCAGAGCTGCAAGGGGGGGGGGTGTGTCCCCCCCAGCCACAGGGGCAATCACAACAGCCCACAGCGGAACACCGGACCACCGTCACCTCGCCGGCGGGCAGCCCCCAGCCTTCTCCTCCAGCATCAGCAGCCAGGCAGCAGCAGGACAACCTTATCAAGGCCTAATTACCCTCTGCCCCCCGCCCCCCCTGCTCCGCAGAACCGGCACCTCCATTTCCAGCCTGGATTTTTCTCATCTCCAGCTTCCAAACCCCCAGCTCGCCCGCTGCTCTTTCTTCCGCTAGATGAAAGAGCCGCCTCCGCCGGAGCCCTCGCCCCCAGAGGTGCGTGCGGGAGCTGATAAAGCCCCCTTCCCCCCCGCCCAGATAAACGAGAGGGACGGAGCCGTCGCAATCTCTCGCTTCCAGACTTGTCTCCAGGCATGGCATTGATCTGATCGCTCCTGCTGACCCTCTCCTGTTTTCCAGCATCCTCCGAGGCACGGACACCAGGAGCACGCACAAGCCCAGCGACGGCTCCTGACTCCGCAGGCAAAGGCAAAGCCTTTCCCTCATTCCCTCCCGATATTCCTCACTCGGGCTTTCGGGAGCTGCATCCACGTAACAGCCCCACGGCAGCAGGGGTGCGGAGCCCTGTCCCAGCCCATCAGCCCCCCTGTGCTCAGGGATGCGGATCAGGGATCGAGATCAGGGA